ATATATATATATATATATATATACAACAACTGAACTACTGGTTACATATAAAGGAACCTTTTCAATTCATTAACTTCTTGTAGATCTTTAAAGCATGTGATTTCAACAAATAAAAACATTAAGTCAACCATGTACCTGTAAGATTTTACAGACTAGATCTGGTTTAACACTAGACTGATGCATTCCTTTGTTTCCTGCTGGGCCTATACAGAGATGCTTCATAGCAGACCTGACGTCAGTTTTGTTGGTCTTTATTCCATGTGAGCGCAGCTGCCAGAAGCGCTGTCGCCCGAGGACAATGGGCAGCCATCCAATGGAGCAGAATTAACTGGAAGTGGCAAGTGGAGAGGAACATACATCAGATGGCAAAGGTAAACTATCTTGTACTGTATGCAATGCATCCATAATTTTAACCTCCAAAGAGTTTTCATCCATATCCCTAAAGGGGAGGATGAAATTCCATCTGTATAAAGGGGTTTTCCACTCAGAACTGGCAGTATTCAGCCTAACAGAGCTACTAGAATACATGAGAGTCGATTGCATCACTCCCACAGCATACATGCACCACCTAAAAACAGCGCCTCGCCTTAATGTGATGTGAAAGCAGGCCAACCTGGTGTGACATGTTGAAAAGCCCGGCAGTTAATCTGCCTCACATTGTCAGTTAATGTGAGGCAGAAACAACATTTCCATCTTTAGTTTATCAGTCTTGCTTTATTTTAAAAACATGACTTCATTTAAAAGAAAAGTAAACCAGAACTCATCTGAAATTGACATCAGAAAGAAAGCAATTAATAGAAGAAAATAAAAAGAGAAAAATGTAGTGCTTATTTTTATTCTAGTCTTTTTTTTTCATGTTTGTAGCATGTTTGCATGGAGGACCGCCTCTACCATATTTAAACTTAAACAGAGAAAAATAAATGCTCAATAAATAAATAAGCATATAATTAATTACCCCCGAAAATACAATAAACAAATAAATGTAGGTAGAAATTAAATTATACAGCGAGACATACATTTATATATCG